AGGGACAATAACAGAGAACAGCTACTTAAAATAAACAGTAGACATAACAGTAAGATAACCGGCAACAATGGGGGGAAAAAGAGGTATCATTGGGGAAATATGACGGGAATTCACCTACACCTGGGAACCATTGCCTAGGCTATACACCTGGCAGCCATTACCCAGTCTACACACCTGGAAACCATTAACTGGGCTTCACATATGGGATCCATTATTAGGCTACACACTTGGGACGCATTAACTGGGTCCCAGGTGTGTAGCCTGGGTACCATAAACTTGGTTACACACCGGGAAACCATTACTTAGATCAGTTACACTGACCCACCAGGCTTTGACTTCCTCCAAGCTGCGCCCTCTAATTTGCTCCGAGGTGCGGCCTATGACTTCCTCAAAGCTGCGGCGGCATAACACATTCATGAATTTTAACGTACTGTGTACTTTAAAACGACACGGGAGAGGAATACTGCAGTAGGCCTGCTATTTCATACAAGATAGGAATATCGCAGTAGGCTTACTGGTCCATGCTATACGCAGTACTGCAGTGGACCTACATGGTCCATGTAGCCTGAATTGTAGTACTCCCCTACTGCAGGAACACCAGTAGGCCTACTGCAGAAACACTGCAGTAATCCCACTGGTCCACTGGTACGTTACGGTAACTCATCGTCTGCTTGACGATTTAGCTGTTATAGAGTAAAGCCAATTGTTAAACCTCTTTAATATTAGCTACACAGAGGGCAGTTTTCCCAGTAAATGAACAAAAATATGTAACCATCCCTATCCATAAAGCCACTGGAGAGTACAGACCAGTGGCCTTAACCTCGTGTTTCTGTACAATGATGGAGAGGACAATTTTATATAGACCTATACTTGGTATTAGATCACTTATCCAGTATTCTGTTTGGATTCCTCAGAGGCAAAAGTACATAATTTTAATTAATTTTGCCCCAAGGGGCGAGTGTATTACCTATAATTGTATTATTAAATGAGTATCTAACGAAAAGGATTACTATAGAGTATTTATTCACATACAAGGAGCCTTTGATGAGACGAACAAGCTCATCATATATGTACTAACTTAGGCGTTAATGGTCGATTATTACACTGGACAGGTGATTAACTTCATGAAAGAAATGCTTAGGTGTGGTATCAAGAGTATTAGACCTAATATTCCATGAGAGGGAGGAAATCTGCCGTAGACCATGCAGGTTAGCTTAGCATTTTAAAAGCACTGAATCACCTTCTGTGGTTGATTGTTCAATAAACTCCTAAACTATATGTTTAACGCATCTCTATCCCTGTCCATGGAGGACAGAAGAAAATGTATATATGCTAGTTAGCATTGTAAAAATCTGGCCACGTCTGTGGTAGAAAATAATAATAATAATAATAATAAAAGTCCGTGCACCGATGTTTTGAGCTCGGCACACCTCAGGGAGGAGCGTTAAGTCCCACCCCTATTTAATATATTAATGAATTGGATAACGTCCAAGAGATACTCAAATAGGGTAACTCCAATCATATATGCAGATGATATTTTGTTTCTGGGGTGAGGGAATTATCAAGGGAAGGCGCCAAGCCATTACGACTATATAGCATTGGGAAGGGACCAGGATAAGGATTTGGGATGGGACGGGGGGAAAGGAACCCAACCACTTGGACGGTCTGGGATTGAACGCCGACCTGCATGAAGCGAGTTTCAAATATTTAAACCTTGTTAGTTAAATTCGGCGATCCTGTCACCATATGGGACTGGACCTGTATGACAAATCCCCCCTTGTGATGGGGATTTTACGCATCAAGCAGCTAGTTTTTGACTGATTGATTGATGAAGATTAAGCCACCACAAGAGGTGGCACGGGCATGAGGAGCCCGCAGGTGATAAGATGTTTGGAGTGAATGTGGGCGTGTAACATCTTGAAGTGTGTCTGGGCCCCCTGCAAGTGCTTGACACTACTCCCCTTCATATAGTCTAGGGCAGCTGCACAAATGCAGATGTACATAAATGTGCGAACAAGCCTGAATGGTCCCCAGGACAATATGCAACTGAAAACTCACACCCCAGAAGTGAGTTTTCAGTTGTACATAAATGTGTTAACAAAAAAGGAAAAAAGGTGGTTATTGAAGACAAAGTTAAATTTGAATGTAGAAGCCGGTAACTTGTTAGAAATAAACGGGAAAATATAGACCTAACTCAAGGATGTCTCGCTAGATTAACCCAAGGATGTCTCGCTAGACTAACCCAAGGATGTCTCGCTAGATTAACCCAAGGATGTCTCGCTAGATTAACCCAAGGATGTCTCGCTAGATTAACCCAAGGATGTCTCGCTAGACTAACCCAAGGATGTCTCATTAGGCTAACTCAAGGATGTCTCACTAGACTAACCCAAGGATGTCTCACTAGACTAACCCAAGGATGTCTCACTAGACTAACCCAAGGATGTCTCATTAGGCTAACTCAAGGATGTCTCACTAGACTAACCCAAGGATGTCTCGCTAGACTAACCCAAGGATGTCTCACTAGACTAACTCAAGGATGTCTCCCTAGACTAACCCAAGGATGTCTCGCTAGACTAACTCAAGGATGTCTCCCTAGACTAACCCAAGGATGTCTCGCTAGACTAACTCAAGGATGTCTCCCTAGACTAACCCAAGGATGTCTCGCTAGACTAACCCAAGGATGTCTCACTAGACTAACCCAAGGATGTCTCATTAGGCTAACTCAAGGATGTCTCACTAGACTAACCCAAGGATGTCTCGCTAGACTAACCCAAGGATGTCTCACTAGACTAACTCAAGGATGTCTCCCTAGACTAACCCAAGGATGTCTCGCTAGACTAACTCAAGGATGTCTCCCTAGACTAACCCAAGGATGTCTCGCTAGACTAACTCAAGGATGTCTCCCTAGACTAACCCAAGGATGTCTCGCTAGACTAACCCAAGGATGTCTCATTAGGCTAACTCAAGGATGTCTCACTAGACTAACCCAAGGATGTCTCGCTAGACTAACCCAAGGATGTCTCACTAGACTAACCCAAGGATGTCTCGCTAGACTAACCCAAGGATGTCTCACTAGACTAACCCAAGGATGTCTCGCTAGACTAACCCAAGGATGTCTCACTAGACTAACTCAAGGATGTCTCCCTAGACTAACCCAAGGATGTCTCGCTAGACTAACCCAAGGATGTCTCACTAGACTAACCCAAGGATGTCTCGCTAGACTAACCCAAGGATGTCTCACTAGACTAACCCAAGGATGTCTCGCTAGACTAACCCAAGGATGTCTCACTAGACTAACCCAAGGATGTCTCGCTAGACTAACCCAAGGATGTCTCGCTAGACTAACCCAAGGATGTCTCACTAGACTAACCCAAGGATGTCTCACTAGACTAACCCAAGGATGTCTCACTAGACTAACCCAAGGATGTCTCGCTAGACTAACCCAAGGATGTCTCACTAGACTAACCCAAGGATGTCTCGCTAGACTAACCCAAGGATGTCTCGCTAGACTAACCCAAGGATGTCTCACTAGACTAACCCAAGGATGTCTCGCTAGACTAACCCAAGGATGTCTCCCTAGACTAACCCAAGGATGTCTCCCACTAGACTAACCCAAGGATGTCTCACTAGACTAACCCAAGGATGTCTCACTAGACTAACCCAAGGATGTCTCGCTAGACTAACCCAAGGGTGTCTCACTAGACTAACCCAAGGATGTCTCACTAGACTAACCCAAGGATGTCTCACTAGACTAACCCAAGGATGTCTCACTAGACTAACCCAAGGATGTCTCACTAGGCTTTAGGAAATTTAATTTAGGAAAAATTAACAAGACAATAGGATAAATTAGATAAGTTTAGAATTAGGAAAGACCTGGGTAAATACTGGTTTGGTAACGGTTGTGGATTTGCGGAACACATTACCCCGTAAGATAATAGACGTAGGAGCTCTTGATTGTTTCAAGCGTAGGTTAGACATACATACGAATGAGATTGGGTTGATATAAATGGGAGCTGCCAAGTATGGGCCAATAGGCATTCTGTAGTTTTTTTTGTTTTTTTATGTTCTCATGCTCTTAAATTAACATGGCAATAGGACAAATTAACTTAACAATAAGACAAATTAGCATAACAATAACGCATTAACAAGGCAATAGTACTAATTAACAAGACAATAGGGAAAATTAATAACAATAACCATACAATTAAACACGAAAATTAACAAGAGAACGAAGAAGATATTGGGAAAACGGTGAAGAAACAAAACATATTTATCACTACATTAAAACAGTGAACAAAACAATACAAACCTAGAGAAAGTGAACAATACAAGTCAAAACAAGCAAAATAATTAAAACCAAGGGAGCCGGTCGGCCGAGCGGACAGCACGCTGGACGTGTGATCCTGTGGTCCTGGGTTCGATCCCAGGCGCAGGCGAGAAACACTGGGCAGAGTTTCTTTCACCCTATGCCCCTGTTACCTAGCAGTAAAATAGGTACCTGGGTGTTAGTCAGCTGTCACGGGCTGCTTCCTGGGGGTGGAGGCCTGGTCGAGGACCGGGCCGCGGGGACACTAAAAAAAAGCCCCGAAATCATCTCAAGATAACCTGAAGACAAATAAAACAAGAAGCAATAAAAGCTACACAGTAAGAAGACACAAAACAGTAAGAACCAATGCATCAAAACATTAAGAACTAAGACAAACAAAACAATAAGAAGACAAACAAAACACAAGACAACCAAGACATATAAACAAGGTGGGGACGAAGGACAGTAGGTTAGATATGTTAGTGATTTGGCCCGGGTTTGAAGCTTGGGCAAGGAGGATCAACTGGGCACCAGTCATCGTTCGCCCCTGTTCACCCAGCAGTAATTGGGGTGAACTGGTTGTAAACCGATGGGCGGATCGTGTTCCAGGGAAAACTAGCAAGGTGAGACTTAAGATGTTTTATAGGAAGGAGAAGCTCCTAGCCTATTATTAAGAGGAGTCAGACCTCGTTTGATGTGCCCCGCTCCTGTGCCAGGTAAGTTACGGGCTCACCATAGCCCGTGCTACTTGGAACTTGTTCCGAGTAGCTGAATCTATAACAACAACAACAACAACCTCGTTTGATCTTTCACTCACCTGTGTGGAAAAAACCGATGACCGGGTATTGAACACTACAGTAAGCAGGTATTGAATCTGTTAGTTAACCTGGCAGTGAACAACAGTGAACCAGGTAGTGAACCTGGCAGTGAATCAGGTAGTGAACATGACAGTGAAGCAGGTAGTGAAACTGATAGCGAATCAGGAACTGAATATGATAGTGAACCAGTCTGTGAATGCGACATTGAACACGGCCATGGATCAGACAGTGAATCAGTTAGTGAACACGACAGTGAACCAGATAGTGAACACGACAGTGAACCAGATAGTGAACACGACAGTGAACCAGATAGTGAACACGACAGTGAACAGATAGTGAACACGACAGTGAACCAGATAGTGAACACGACAGTGAACCAGATAGTGAACACGACAGTGAACCAGATAGTGAACACGACAGTGAACCAGATAGTGAACACGACAGTGAACCAGATAGTGAACACGACAGTGAACCAGATAGTGAACACGACAGTGAACCAGATAGTGAACACGACAGTGAACCAGATAGTGAACACGACAGTGAACCAGATAGTGAACACGACAGTGAACCAGATAGTGAACACGACAGTGAACCAGATAGTGAACACGACAGTAAATCAGGCAATGAACACAACAGTGAATCCGAAAATGAACCAGTGAACACAATGAACCAAGTAGTGAGCACAACAGTGAACCAGGCAGTGGATGCGACAGTGAACACGAAGTGAACACGAAGTGAACCATATCAGTGAACGTGGCAATGAACCAGACAGTGAACATGATAATGAACCAGACAGTGAACATGACAGTGAACCAGACAGTGAACATGACAGTGAACATGACAATGAACCAGACAGTGAACATGACAGTAAGCAAGACAGTGGACCAGTGAAAGAAACTGCATGTGCAATAAACAAAACTGCATTTGATAATCAAAACTACATACGCAATGGTTAATTGAGAAAAACTGTAGGGTTCTGAACACGGGAACAATTTTGCACTTGAAGCTCCGAACAAGAAGGCTGCGTGGGGTGGTGAACAAGTGAACACAACCACACAGGTAGTGAAAGAATATGAAAACTTATGCAGTACAACGAACAATAGAACAAGACTGTGCAGCGACGGACAGTTTGAGAGAACTGCATGAACAAATCCTCGTGGAACAATGAACAGATGAACATAAGCTGCATGTGGTAGTAAATAAGTAGGCACAAGAGCACGAGACGCTGGAGAAAGTGAACAAAGCTACACCCGATGCTGAATGGGTGTTCAGTACGAGGGTGAACACAAGTGAACGAAGCCAGACGGACGATGGTCCGCCATCATTGTTGTGGGTACGGCAGCCAGATGTGCGATGCTTCCTGAAGAGGTGGCGCCCAGCAGCTGGCGGAGCAATTACCAATAACCAACACAATATATATCCAACCACCAACACGCCCCAAAATATGAAGCACATTGAATTCGTAGGTGATTTTTTTGTTGTAACCATTTGTTTTCATAACAATATTCAACTGTTGTTCAATATTTGCTTTCCGAATTACCGACGCTCAAGGAAAATTAACATATAAATTGGCATCAGCGAATGGCAATATTTTAGTTGGAAGGTTTTCGATAAGGTGAAGAAAGCCGTAAGATTGAAAGATCGTAAAAAAAAAAGAAATTGGCGTAACCATCAGCTCTTTCTCTAGAAGGAAATGGGTTGTTGCTTCTTAATCTATTTTATGGAAAACAAGACGACTAGGGAGTTAGTGTTGGAACAACCCAAGACAGGTAGAAGGGGTCGCGTGATCACCTCTGAGATGGACTTGGGGAGATGGACTTGGGGAGATGAACTTGGTGAGATGGACTTGGTGAGATGGACTTTATGAGATGGACTTGGTGAGATGGATTTTATGATATGGACTTGGTGAGATGGACTTTATGAGATGGACTTGGTGAGATGGACTTGGTGAGATGGCCTTTGTGAGATGGACTTTATGAGATGGACTTGGTGAGATGGACTTTATGAGATGGACTTGGTGAGATAGACTTGGTGAGATGGCCTTTGTGAGATGGACTTTATGAGATGGACTTGTTGAGATGGACTTGGTGAGATGGCCTTTGTGAGATGGCCTTTGTGAGATGGACTTTATGAGATGGACTTTATGAGATGGACTTCATGAGATGGACTTTGTGAGATGGACTTTAGAGTGGCTTATCTGCCAATTAAGTAATGTATGAGACGGAGAGAAGGGTCATGAGCCTGTACCCAGTCTTACCCTGTATGCCCCACCAGGGAGTCTGTTCATCTCCCACGCATCCCTGGGACAATATGGCTGGGACTCCTGGCTCACCCCGGGAGTCTGTTCATCTCCCACGCATCCCTGGGACAATATGGCTGGGATTCCTGTCTCCCCCAGGGAGTCTGTTCATCTCCCACGCATCCCTGGGACAATATGGCTGGGACTCCTGGCTCACCCCGGGAGTCTGTTCATCTCCCACGCATCCCTGGGACAATATGGCTGGGACTCCTGGCTCACCCCGGGAGTCTGCTCATCTCCCACGCACCCCTGGACAATATGGCTGGGACTCCTGGCTCACCCCGGGAGTCTGTTCATCTCCCACGCATCCCTGGGACAATATGGCTGGGACTCCTGGCTCACCCCGGGAGTCTGTTCATCTCCCACGCATCCCTGGGACAATATGGCTGGGACTCCTGGCTCACCGCGGGAGTCTGTTCATCTCCCACGCATCCCTGGGACAATATGGCTGGGACTCCTGGCTCACCCCGGGAGTCTGTTCATCTCCCACGCATCCCTGGGACAATATGGCTGGGACTCCTGGCTCACCCCGGGAGTCTGTTCATCTCCCACGCATCCCTGGGACAATATGGCTGGGACTCCTGGCTTACCCCGGGAGTCTGTTCATCTCCCACGCATCCCTGGGACAATATGGCTGGGACTCCTGGCTTACCCCCTGGGACAATATGGCTGGACTCCTGGGAGTCTGTTCATCTCCCACGCATCCCTGGGACAATATGGCTGGGACTCCTGGCTCACCAGGGAGTCTGTTCATCTCCCACGCACGCACCCCTGGGACAATATGGCTGGGACTCCTGGCTCACCAGGGAGTCTGTTCATCTCCCACGCATCCCTGGGACAATATGGCTGGGACTCCTGGCTCACCAGGGAGTCTGTTCATCTCCCACGCATCCCTGGGACAATATGGCTGGGACTCCTGGCTCACCAGGGAGTCTGTTCATCTCCCACGCATCCCTGGGACAATATGGCTGGGACTCCTGGCTCACCCCGGGAGTCTGTTCATCTCCCACGCATCCCTGGGACAATATGGCTGGGACTCCTGGCTCACCAGGGAGTCTGTTCATCTCCCACGCATCCCTGGGACAATATGGCTGGGACTCCTGGCTCACCAGGGAGTCTGTTCATCTCCCACGCATCCCTGGGACAATATGGCTGGGACTCCTGGCTCACCAGGGAGTCTGTTCCTCTCCCACGCATCCCTGGGACAATATGGCTGGGACTCCCAGGGAGTCTGTTCATCTCCCACGCATCCCTGGGACAATATGGCTGGGACTCCTGGCTTACCCCGGGAGTCTGTTCATCTCCCACGCACCCCTGGGACAATATGGCTGGGACTCCTGTCTCCCCCAGGGAGTCTGTTCATCTCCCACGCACCCCTGGACAATGATTGACAGGTGGGTGATGGTGAGGCTCCGTACCCAGCCGTCCGCCACCCTTCTGGCCTTGGGACTCACCGCAGGAAGCAATAGTGAGCGCTGGGAATCAACAATCTCTGCCAAATTTGGAAGCAAATACTTGTGTTGACCACTTATGATATTGGTGAAGGATCAAGTTCTCAGTTACGTTTGTGTGGTTCGTATGATGGCTGCTTACCGAAGTGCTGCCCAGTTACACCTAAAGTAATACTACTACTTCTACTACTACTACTTCTACTACTACTACTTCTACTACTATTACTTCTACTACTACTTCTACTACTACTTCTACTACAACAACCTCCACTACCACCACTACTACTACTAATATATAATATTATAAATAATTAGAGAGAGGTGAGCAAGAGAGGGAGGGACCAGTTAGTCAGCCACACCAACATCTCAACGGGCAGGTTACAGGGACGACTCAACGGGCAGGTTACAGGGACGACTCAACGGGCAGGTTACAGGGACGACTCAACGGGCAGGTTACAGGGACGACTCAACGGGCAGGTTACAGGGACGACTCAACGGGCAGGTTTCAGGGACGACTTAACAGGCAGGTACAACAGGTATTCTGTAGCACAATGGTCAGCGCATCGGTTCACAGCCACAAGGTTTCGGGCTCGCTTCCCACGGCAGGACAGAGACGTTTGGGCACGTTTCCTTTCTTCGAATGCCGCTGCTCACCTAGCAGTAAATAGGTACCCGAGAGGAGTTAAGACAACTCTTGCATCGTGCTCAGTTGTTGTTGTTATAGATTCAGCTACTCGGAACAAGTTCCAAGTAGCACGGGCTATGGTGAGCCCGCAGTGGACTTACCTGGCACAGGAGCGGTGCTGAATGAGTATCGTGCTCAGTAGTTGAGGTAGTGGTTATACTAGTTCCTCGGACCATCGGAGGGGGGGGGAGTACATGGGGTAGATCGAAACTGTCAGATATATTGCAGCAGCATTACAGTCGATTAGAAGGGCCTGAAATAGCTTGAAGGGAAGACAACCTCACTGAGCCAAGATTCTCCATGATATTTCAAGAAACCATATGAAACACATACAAAAATGGATCATTGATAGGTGACATGAGGATTTTATCTAGACTAATTATGAGGTTGATTAGTGCGCAGTAAAGCTTGATGGCGCGCAATATAACAAGGACAACAACAACAACAACTGTCAGGAGAAAGCGCCAAACCATTACGACTATATAGCACTGGGAAAGGGTCAGGATAAGGATTTGGGATGGGACGGGGGTAAGGAATGGTGCCCAACCACTCGGTCGGGGGATTGAACGCCGACCTGCATGTAGCGAGACTGTCGCTCTACCGTCCAGCCCAAGTGGTTGGGCACAACAAGGACTAGCATCTGGTGACTCTATACCAGCTCTAAACACACCTGATGGCTCTGTAGCCACCAGTGCCATGGAGAAGGCTGAAGTTTTTGCTTCCCACTTCGCAAACAAGTCGCAACTTAATGAACCAGATCGCTCTTTCCCTGTGTTTTCTTTTCTTTACCCATTTCCACATGTTCCTGTAACATTACAACAGAGAAAGCAGCAAATCTTGTCGTTGAAACAAATGTTAGCAAGGATCTAGGACCTGGTTGTTATTCCCTACATCCTTCAGTGATGTACGGTTCCCTTTGCAGTCCTCTTTCTAGCTTGAATTGTCCAAGAAACCTGGCCAGTAATCCGGAATAAGATCAGGCTATAGCTGTACACAAAATCAAAGTCATCACTAAAAAATTCTTGTCAAATATCCTTACTCTCAGGCGTTGGAAAGATATTTGAATACATCTTTCGTGTGACAGTACAAGTCAGCGTGATATAAACTATCCACTAAATTCTTTTTTGGCTTTAGAGATAAAAGAAGCACATCAGATCTGATACTGCGGTTGACCGCAAAATAGAACAAGAGTTTCGATACACACGGAGAGGATATATCCGGACAGGATACATATGGACAGGATACATATCGAGAGGATACGTTTGGAGAGGATATATGGCATGACCTTGGGT